CTCTCTCTCTCTCTCCTATCAAGATCCCCATTGGCGCCTCAAGACAAGGGCGGCTTCATTGGGCATTCGCAATTTCCGTGATGGAAGGCCGAGCAGCAGAGCAGCGCGGCGCGGCGGGTACACGCGCGGGCCGGCAGGCGAGGGAGGTGGAGGAGGTGGCGGAGGGGGAGGGGAGATAATGATGAAACTTTGTCGCCGTGACGGCGCGAGGAGTCACTGTCGGAGTAAAGACGCCCATCCTCGCGGCGCTGCTGATCCGCGGGACGCGCGCGCTAGCAAGTCGGCTCAAGTAGCCGAGCCAAGCAGAGGGCTCCGCAATAAACGACGAGAACTTTTGCGACCGGCGAAACGGAACCACAACGTTCTATACTTAAGTCGGTGCTCGGTGTATGGGGAAAAAAAAGAAAAACTTAAATGAAAACAGTCCCCGTTCAAACACGTGTATACTCGATGGCACATTATTCATATCCACATCCGCCTATTCAAATTTTTCCCACGGAGCGATGCAAAACCCGGGTGAGCCGGGCGCTTTTCGCAATAATGCACTTTGCGCTGAGCGAAACGACGACGCGGCGCGCGCAATCCGCGGCGCGCTTGTTTGACTCCACTCTGCATTCGTGTATTATCGACGATGGCATGAGATCGCCTCGCAGTAGTCGGTGTGTTTTGCATATTTTCGCATCACCGGAGGACCGTGCAGCCGCCTGGAGATGATATTCATAAGGACGGGAGCGGGTGTGCGCGGCTACCAGGGGAGAAGGGGACAAGGAGGGGAGAGGGGAGGGGTCTCACTTAGTGGTGATTACCTCGTCAGCAAATTATCAAATCAGTGTGCGGGAGCCACCCTGACCTTCCCTCCAACTCCTCCACTTTCCACTTCCACTCCACAAGGAGGGGGTGAAAGAAGGGGGGGGGGGAGGTAAAGGAAGAAGAAGAGAGATACGCGTAACGCGGTGATGAATTTTTGTATGCATCATTTAGCGAGAATCTCTCCCAACAAGATGAGAGAGGGAGCACAGGAGGGGAGTGGTTGGAGAAAGAGAGCGAGAGAAAGGGGTCCAGAGAGAGCAAGAGCGAGAGAGAGAAGGGGGAGAGAGACAGAAAGAGAGCGGAGCGTGGCGGCAGCGCCGGGGACGCCAGGAAACAGGGAGCAGACGCCCGCAGCGCGCCGCGCCGCCCCTTTTGTTGCGAGGCTTCGGAGCGAACGCTTTTTGTTTCGGCCATTTTCCGGGAGGAGACGGGGGGAGTGAAAGGCCTTCGGGAGCAGGGAGAGAGGGAGGGAGGGAGGCGAGGTGGGGGCGCACACCACCTACGCCTAATGTGATGGACTGGCTGGCGTGAACGGCCCGTCCGGCAGGCGGACCCATCACCAGGACATAGGACACGTACAGCGTGTCACACGACACACACACACACACACATGATGGCCAACAACATCCGCGATCTGCGATATTTAATTTCCTGCCACCGCTGCCGCTTGTCAAACATCATTTGCATGCAATGAGCGAAGCGTGACCCGCGCGCGTTCGGGTGGGGACGGGGTATAGATGGTGGGAGGGAGGCAGGCAGGGGGG